ATCCCTCTCTTATTTATGATTGTAATGGAAATGGCTTTGTTTATCCCTTTTGAATTATGTTTCTTTATCATGTGAGTAGCTTCCTTCACATACTACTTTAATCTTTATTATTTATGCTACTAAAAATTACTACCACCACCTGTCTGTCAGATTGTCGTACTGTGGTGGTTTCTGTGCTACTGTGATGCTGTAAGTTATGCCACTGATATTTCAAATGCCAGCAGGTTCACCAAAAGTGAACAGGTTTTGAATAGATCTTCCAGACTAAGAACAGACAATGAAGGACTCTGCTCCTCACTAAGGAGAAAGAAGCAACTGAAAACCTTATGCACAGCTTCGAAACATGGTCAGACACTGAAGGCCTAAAGAAGGGAAGGATATTGTTAGAGATAGGGCCAGAGGATGGGCCCCTCAGTTCCAAGGGCACTCGAAATGTGTCTGAGGAGGAGCTGATTTCTCGAAGAGGACTCTAACATGGTGCCATGAATCAAAAAATCATATAAGCTACTATAAGCAGGGAATAACAAAATCCAAAGGAATGGCACAGCATTCATTGTCAAAAAGACATTGCAAAACCAACCAGGAAGTACAATGTCTTCTGTGACAAGATTATATCCATCCACCTTCAAGGACATCCAACCAAAACAACTATCTGTCAAATTTATGCACCAACCACAAATGCTAGTGATAATGAAATTGAAGAATTTTACCAATGACTTCAGTCAGAAATCTATCAGGCATGCAATCAAGATGCATTGGCCATTATTGACGATTAGAATGCAAAAATCGTAAACAAAAAAAGGAAGGAACAGTAGCTGGGAAATAATGGTCTTGTGACAGAAATGAAGCTGAAGATCTGCATGATAGAATTTTGAAAAACCAACGACTTGTTCATGACAAATCTCTTTTTCAATAACACATAAGGTGATGATATCCTTGGATTTCCCCAGATGGAATACACAGAAATCAAAGTAACTACACCTGTGGGAGAATATGATGAAAATGATCAAAATCAACAGCTTAAAACAGACCGTGGACTAATTGTGGAACAGACCATTGAATTGCTCACATGTAAGTTCAGGATAAAGCTGAAGAAAATGAAAACAAGTTCATAAGATTCAAAATATGATCTTGAGTCGGTCACAGCTGAATTTCAAGAATATCTCAAAAGCAGGTTTGTGGCCTTGAACACTAATGACAGAAGACCTGTGGGAAGAAATCTGGATCATTCATGAGGAAAGCAAAAGGTCATTAAAAAGACAGGAAAGAAAGAAAAAGATCAAAGTGGATATCAGAAGAGACTCTGAAACTTGCTCTTCATTGAACAGCAGCTAAAGCAAATGGGAGAAATGATGAAATCAAAGAGCTGAATAGAAATTTTCAAAGCGAAGCTCAAAAAGACAAAGCCAAATATTATAATGAAATGTGCAAAGACCTAGAATTAGAAAAGCAAAAGGGAAGAACACACTAAAACATCTCTAAAACTGAAAGAACGTGAGAAAAACATCCAAGCCTTGATTTGCAACCTTGAAAGATTCTATGGGCAAAATACTGAATGAGCATCAAAACAACATGGAAATAATACACAGAGTCATGTACCAAAAAGAACTTGTCGACTTTCCACCATTATAGAAGGTAGCATATGAACCAGACAAACGGTGATGAAGGAAAAAGTTCATACTTCACGGAATCTATTAGCCAAAAACAAGGCTACAGGAATTGGTGGAATACCGATTGAAATGTTTCAACAAGCTTATGAAGCACTGGAAGCACTCATCTACGCCAGAAAACATCGAAGACAGCTACTTGGCCAACTGACTAGAAGAGATCCGTATTTGTACACACTCCAAAGAAAGGTGACCTAACAACGCTCAAACTATAGAATAATATTATTGATACTGCAGGCAAGTAAAATTTTGCTGAAGATCACCACCCAACAACAGTTGAAACAACACATTACAGGGAACTGCCAGAGGTTCAGGCCAGATTCAGAAGAGGATGTAGGACAAAGGATATCATTGCTAATGTTTGATGGGTCTTGGCTCAAAGAAAAACACAGAAGAAATATGTTTCCTTGTGTTTTATTGACTATTCAAAAGCATTTGAACATGTGGATCATAACCAACTGTGGATCGCCTTGAGAAGAATTGGAATTCCAGAACACTTCGTTGTGCTTCGGAATTGTACATGGACCAAGAAGCAATTAGGTGAGTACAACAAGGGAAATCTGCCTGGTTTAAAATCAGGAAAGCTGTGCACCAGGGTTGCATTCCCTCATCATACTTGTCCAACCTGTGTGCTGATCAAATCATCAGAGAAGCTGGCTGATATGAAGAAGAATGTGGCATCAGGACTGGAGGAAGGCTTATTAACAACCTGGGACATGCAAATGATACAAACTTGCTTGCGGAAATGGAGGAGGACTTGAGACACTTTCTGATGAAGACCAGGGATTGCAGCCTTCAGGATGGATTATGACTCAGTGGCATGAAGACCCAAATCCTCACAACCAAACCAACAGGTAACATCATGATATAGAGAGAAAAGATTGAAGTCATCAAGGATTTTGTCTTGCGTGGATCCACAATCAATGCTCATGGAAGCAGCAGTCAAGAGATCAAAGGATGTGTTGCATTGAGGAAATCTGCTGCACAAGGCCTCTTCAGCATATGGAAAAGCTAGGTGTTACTGTTAAGTAGCTAGATGTAGGGATTGGGGGGTTGTCCCTCCCATGCCTGCAAAGGCCCCCATAGAAGAGGTTTGAAATACATCAGGCAGTCATTGAAACCTATGAAGACCCCCAAACTGAGCATGCTCAAACTCAAGCCCCGCCACCACTACCCACCCTCCCACCCCCAGCCAGGTGGGAGGTACACCTGGGCACCCAAACTAGGCCCAGGCTCATCACATCACTCTGCCAATGGGGTCAAACAATACCTTCAACCACTCCTCCCCCAGCTAGGGGTGGGCTAGAACAAAGACAGGGAGCTTGCTCTGGCTCTCCCTTTGTTGCCCTCTTGACTTCTCACTCCCTTGCCCCTTGCTCTCTTTTACCCTGCTCCTGGTCAACAGCAGGTGGAGGGTGAGGGTCTCCCTTCCCTGTGTGGGCACACATGCACCTGTTCCCGGTCAACTTGGGGCCCGCAGCCTCTTGGCTCCCATGCTCTGAGTTTCTGGGCCCACATGCTGGTAGCCTCCAGAGTTCTTGGGATTCTGGCCTCCCAGGATCCTCCCCACCCCAGTTCTGCATGTGTGGGTGCTCTTTTCCACATTGTGAATCCAGTTGTGAATCCCAGCACAGCTTCCACGTGGCATGGCATGCCTTCCAGAAATAGCATTTGTCCTTTTGAAACAGTAAAACCTGAAACTTGTCCTTCATAAAAACCCACTTGGATCACGAAATGTGCTTTGGCATGAATTCTTCAAGCTTGCGAAAGAACCGAGGTACAACCCACTCCAGAAACCTAACATTACTTTGAGGACTAAGGTGTGCCTGACCCAAGTCATGGTGTTTTCCATCGCCTCATATGCATGTGAAAGTTGGATATTGAATAAGGAAGACTGCAGAATCAATGCATTTGAATCAATATTCAATATTGAAGAATATTGAAAGTAGTATGGACTGCTAAAAGGACAAACTGATCTGTCTCGGAAGGAAGCTATAGTTCTCCTTTACAGGCAAGGATAGCATGGCTTCATCGTACATATTTTGGACATCTTTTCAGAAGAGCAAGTCTCTAGAGAAAGACATCATGTTTGGTAAAGCAGAGGGCAGAGAAAAGGAGGGCAGCCCTCAAGGAGGTGGATTGACACTGTGGCTGCAACAATGGGCTCAGGCATAGGAACAAGACTGTGCAGTGTTTCATGATTTTGTACACAGGGTCTCTATGGATTGGTACCAATATGATCACACATAATAATAACAACAGCAACAAAGATTATTAAATTTCCTTTTAGTGTCAGCAGATACAATCAAACTCTTTCCTTATTAGTAAATTAATTGTGCCGGTAGTTTTTCAGCTATTGAACAATCTCTGTAGTTCAGGATTACTTGCTTATAACATATTAGTCATATAACATATTAGTCACTTTTGCTGATATCATTTCAGATTCTTTTCCAAAAATCGTTATTTGTAAGTTAGATTAGCTTTCTGTTTTCTTTTAGGTCCTACCAGGATCAGATTTGGGCACTAAAGTTATACGCTCTCTGTAGAATGAATTTGGGACCAAAAAAGCTTAATAAGCACAGAAGTCATCTGCTACCTAAAGATTGGCTGCAGCTCAGCTCAATGTCACACGGATGTCTCATTAGTGCTAATCAGCGTTCCCATTCCTTCTAAGGAAATTGGTCAATAATTTCTTATAATAATTTCTATTTTTCTAGGTTATTATCCATTACTTCTAGTTTTTCAAATGTGTTGCCTATTATCAGTCTACTCTTTATCAGGGATTAAGCCTATCTTTTTATTCCTAATCTTGTATAGTTTTGTTCCATTTTTTCTTTATTTCATCAGCTTTCATTTTTTTCTTTTTGGATCTTTCAAAGAGCAAGATGGCATATTTATTACCCTCCAGCTTTTCTTTTACATGAGTATTTATAGTTTCCAAAGAATTTCTATTCAAATTAGCCAATCTGTTAGGTAGCAAGAAACAGCGACTGGAGGGTTGTCCCTCTCCATGCCTGAAGGCCCCCTACAGGAGGTTGGAAGAGAATCAAGCAAGCGGCAGTATCTTATCTCAGGGCAGGTCTCCCATAGGGCAGTTTCCTTAGTCAGGAGTTTCTCTGGTGCATTTTGGGGAGTTGAGAGCTTTCTGCTCCTCATGGAGACAGCCTAACCCCATGAAGTACAAAAAGATCAAACATGATTCCTTGCTTTTTTGTGTCCACTTGGCACAACTTTCAGCCACCTTCTATAGGAGATGTGAGGCTGAGGTATAGACAGATTCCCATTCCTCCAGAAACATGGATGGAGCCCACAGAGAAGCCAGGAAGGATCTACCTGTATTGCGATGGGTACCATCTTGTTGTCCAGATTCTTGTACAGCAAGCAGATGGGTGCTGCCAGGAACTGTAGCGTGCATGGGTCTGTTTTATTGGCATCAATGCCATCCAGCAACTCAAAGTCCACGATGAAAATGTTTCCTTGCTACAGGAGGAAAGAAATCCTTTTCTGACATTGATTATGTCATCATCCAACATTTCACATTTTTGACAATAATGAAAAATATACTATATGACTATTTTGTTCATTAACAGAATACATCTAGCAGTAATGAACATGTATGTATGAGATGAGATGGCTATGATTATGTGTCAACTTGGCTGGGACATGATTCTCATTGGTTTGGCAGTTTTGTGATGATGTAATTTGGCAGATATATAATGATATGATTTGGTAGCCATGCAATGATGTGATCATGTTCCATTTTGGATGTGATTATCCTTCATTTTCATACAATGTATATTGTTGCATAATAATCTCACCTTTGGAACATAATCATGTCAATATGTGAAGAGAAGGCATGTGTCTACTTCAGTTTCATCCAGAGATAAACCTAAGAATCAGGCCTCAGGGAGGGCAGAACAGATTTTGGAGGTCCTATGAAGTTAAGGAGAATTCAAAGCTTATGTGCTTTGTCCTTACTCAAAGGCCAAAGTTAGCAGAGTCACAGAAGAGTTTTCATGAGTTGGGACGTCCTATGTGTTGATAAAATAAAACCCAAACCAAACCCATTGGCAATGAATTGATTCTGACCCATAGTCATATGGAAGCAGACTGTTACATCTTTCTTCTGAAGAGGACCTAATAGGTGCAAACCAGCACCTTTTCAATTAGTAACTGAGTGTTAACCATTGTGTCACCAGGGCTAAATAGTCGTGGCCAATTCCTTTTTTATTGTACTTGAAACCTACTTGACACTCATGAGTAGAATTGAAAGCTTACCCAAGTGTGGTAAGTTTGATAAGAGGAGAGCAGATAAGAAAAGAGATGAACAAAAAGCAAATACAAGTGTAGTGCTACAGGACCCCATTTATATAAAGTTCAAAACTACTCAAACTAGTCTCAAGGTTCACAAGGCAAGGTAAGAGTCAAGGATGGAAGGAAGAACCTGGAAGGGTGATAATGGGGGCCAGGGAGCCTCGATGTGTTCTGGGTCCTGATCTGCCATTATTTGCTTCAGTGAGTTATTTTGTGACAATGGGTCACATTTGCTGACTATTGTGGACTTGTTTATGTCTCAAAGAGATATATTGAAGACCATTTTCAGATGTAGTTAGTTTAGTTAATATGTGGTCATACAATAACAAACAAACAAACATAAAAGACCAAACCCACTTCTATCAAGTGAATTTCAAATCATAGTGATCCTATAGCCAAGGTGGTTTCCAATGCTGTAAAACATCATATCTTTATTTTGCAGAACAGATGGTGGGTTAGAGCAGCCAACCTTTTGTTATCAGATGAGCACTTAACCACTGTACCATGAGAACTCACTTACTAGAGTAAGGCGGGTCCAACTTCAGTAGGACTGGCGTCCTTATAAAAGAGAACAGATTCAGAGACATAGTCACAAAGGGAAGATAGACATGTAAAGGCAGAGGCTGATTAGAGTGATGTTATAGCTGCAAGTTAAGAAACACCCAGGCTTCCAAAGGTTGGAAGAGGTGAGAATGGAGCTTCCCTTGTATCCATTGAAGAGGGTGAGTCTGGTCAATACTCTGATTTTATACTCCAAGCCTCCAGCACCATGAGATAATAAATTTTTGATGCTGTAAGTCAGCCAGTTTATGGTATTTGTTACAGTAGCCTTAGCAAATGAATATACTACTCTCATGGTTTATATCTTTTCAGTAGTTATAATTTGCAGAAGGTAGAGAATATCAGAAATATGGTTACTTATATTTTATTGACTATGCTAAGACATTCATAACAAATGTGTGTGGACCATAACAAACTGGAAACCATTGACAGAATGGAAAAGACCTAGAGTTAGAAAACCATGCTCAACATATCTTAAACTGTAAGCCTTCAATGAAAAAAAAATTCACATCTCGAGTTTCAATCTTGAAAGGGTCTATGGGTCTATTGAATGATGCAGGAAACATGGGAAAAATACAGTCACTGTACCAAAAAGAACTTGTCAACATTCTACCATTTTGGGAGGGAGCATATGACCCAGCAGTGTTGTGTTCTGTTGTACATAGGGTTGACATGAATCGGAATTGACTCGATAGCACCTAATAACAACAGCATAATTATACTTCAATTTTTAAAATAAAAGCTTAATATAACTATAATTTGGGTAATTCTATCTTGCGTCCTCTAGAGGGAGCCAAATTTGCGAGTTTCCTTTAGTCAAGTTGGGTCATTGCTCAGGGCAGAACTTGAGTAGTTTCGGTAGATGGCATGGGAGGAACCCTTCTTCCAAAGTTATTTTTGTTTCCAGCAAGTTATGATGAAAGTGCCGAGTCCCAGCTGGGGGCCATGTCAGGACCAGCAAAGTCAGGAGAACTTACAGAGGTAAAGTTAGGATGAAGGCATTGGTGGTTCATTGGTAAAATTCTAATATTCCATGTGAGAGATGTGGGTTTAACTCCCAAACAATATATTTCATGCACAGCGCTATCTGCCTGTCAATGGAGGTTTGTTTATTGCTATGATGCTGAATACCTTTTAGAGTACTCTCCAGACTTAGACTAGAAAAGAAAGCTTTGCAATATATATTTAAAATTAGTCAGTGAAACTATATGGGCCACAGCAGTCCAATCTGCAACTGGTCATGGAGATATCATGGGAATAACATGGGACTGGGAATATATCATTCCCTTGTGTATGGGATTGCCTCCAGTTAGGAGCAGACTCAGGGGTGGCAACAACTTAAGTTTGCAAAGATAGGTCAAGAGATGTTCAAGTGAAATATATCCATTTTATGACTTTTCTTGCAGAAAGCACTAATGGGCAACTATGCACATTTCTCATTATCCCCAATAGGGTTGTCGAAGGCTTGTCTCTGAAAAAAGTGATGGTGGGTCAAAGACAGGAAGGTTCCTCCTAGTGTGCCTGATAATCAGTGGTGAAATCCAAGTAGTTCGCTCATTTGAGACCAGGGTAAGGAAAAAACACAAAGGGAGAGTTGATTTTAGGAGAGCCCAGAGGTGGAGACCCACCAGTCCATGGATCAGCAGACTGGCTTCAGACTCTAACCAGCTGGAACTGGGCTTTCAAAGACAATATAATCATCACCAACTCTTGAGCAGCAGAAGTGGCTGGCACAGTTGACTGCCATGATGGGCAAGAGATGCCTTGCACCAGAAGACCTGGGGTTTGCTGTTCTCCCAGGGCTGCTTCTCCCTGCACTTTGGTTTCATGCTTCTTGACAATGGGATGGACCCTGTTTCCCACTTGGCTGCTCTAAGTTTCTGTAGGAGACCCGTTTCCTCCTGTCTAGCATACCTGTTCTCTTCTTTGGATAATTTCTGGTCAGCATATTCCTTCTTCTGCCCATAGGGATTGGTTTAATGAATTATTTTATAACTCTAGCTGGGCCTATGAACACTAGTGCTAAGGCAATTACTGGAACTGTAGGAAAAAATTAATTTCCTTTTTGGAAATGAGTGGTATTTTCTGAGTTGGTAGAAGATAAGTCTATGCTGTTGGTCATGATCTTTGTCTCACAGAAACAGGACCTGCTTATGAAAAGAGTCGATGGAAGAAAGAGAATTGAGAAACAGAAAGAAATAATGCCCTGATCTGAGGCCTGATCAGTTTCAGCTGATTATTGTCACTTGAAATTATAATACTGATATAAAGTCAAGGAACTAAAACAATCTTGAAAA